CTTGCCGTAGTATTATTCTTGTGCATTAGTGTTAAAGATACAGGAACAACAAAGTTTTTTGCAGCTGTTTACCTAAAAATGCAGCCAAGGCGTTTTTTTAAATAAACATTTCAAACTATTTACAGAACAATCAGCTGTTCTGCGTCAAATCTGATGCCACACAAATTATTTGTGCCACTCCAAAAAAAATTTTCTGTCCACTACGAGATAAAGGAGAACAACAGCCTGATACCTGCAGGCCTGACAACAGGAGATGTATCACTCCTGTAACACCTGTAACATTCAGCAGTCGCCTCATTGTTCTGACACACACAACAAAACTATTGACTACACTACACACTAACTACACAAGATTTGCGCTAAACATCGCAAATCTCTCACATCTCAAAACACCTCCGTCACTCCTAAACAGAGATGGGCAGTAACGCCTTACTTGTAACGCGTTACTGTAATCTGATTACTTTTTTCAGGTAACGAGTAAAGTAAGGGATTACTATTGCAAAAACGGTAATTAGATTACCGTTTTTACCTACTTTCCCGTAGGAACGCTGCGTTACTGCGTTACTAAAACCATGATTTTTTTTGCAAGAATGTCTCATGACAGTGACGTAAGCCAGTGCAACGTTCGTGACAACAGCTGTGTGCAGATCAACAGTGCATCATATATTGAGTGCAGAGAGAGTATGAGCATGCAGCGTTTAAAGCGTGGAAGTACTGACCTTATTTTGAGTTTGATTCCATAAAAAGTGACAAAAACATTAGTGTCCGTTGTGCGTGGGAAGAAAACTTCTTTTTACAGCAAAAAAAACCCCCTAAACTTCCGAGCAAGCACCAAGTGCGCTAAGATGTAATGGGAAACTCACAGAGAAACTCGCGGATTCTTCCACTGACCGCTGCGGCACACCAGGGTAAACCTCCGCCTATGCCACTCCTGCTTTACAGGTGAAAATAGAGCAACAGGACCGCTAATCTTTGATGTTATTTATTTTCTGCTGTGTTTTATTTGCATCTATTTGAAAGACTGAGTGTAAACACACAAAAAATATATATTTTATGTGCTGGAATGTGCAGAAAATAAGTTTAAATGTTAAACAAATTTCTTCCAGTCAGAGAATGTTGCATATAATTTAATTTTTGCTTGATGCATAAAGTTAAAAGGTTAAAACTAATAAAACAAGTTTTAAAAAGAGACGTTTCCATTTGATTACATTTTGTATGATGGATTATGCAGAAAAAGTAGAATTGGGCTGAAAGATCTATCGCTTTATCACCTCTTCAGGTTGTAAATCGTGTTTTAAAAAAGTAACTAAGTAATTAATTACTTTTGAAAATAAGTAATCAGTAAAGTAACGGGATTACTTTTTTGGGGGAGTAATTGGTAATTAGTTACTGATTACTTTTTTCAAGTAACTTGACCAACACTGCTCCTAAAACTTCCCCCCTCCCTAAACAACTAAATGCCTTGTTGCCATATCATTTTTTTGGATTGGTGACATGGTACATTTTTCGACCAATAGGAAAGGGAGGGGTTTTTTGGCTTTGTTTTTGCTCACAGGTGGAGAGCGCTTTTTAGGTTTTCCTTACAAAACACCGTTTTTACTGTTTCTTCCTGCAGTAAATACAGTGGGGCAAAAAAGTATTTAGTCAGCCACCGATTGTGCAAGTTCCCCCACTTAAAATGATGACAGAGGTCAGTAATTTGCACCAGAGGTACACTTCAACTGTGAGAGACAGAATGTGAAAAAAAAAAATCCATGAATCCACATGGTAGGATTTGTAAAGAATTTATTCGTAAATCAGGGTGGAAAATAAGTATTTGGTCAATAACAAAAATACAACTCAATACTTTGTAACATAACCTTTGTTGGCAATAACAGAGGTCAAACGTTTACTATAGGTCTTTACCAGGTTTGCACACACAGTAGCTGGTATTTTGGCCCATTCCTCCATGCAGATCTTCTCGAGAGCAGTGATGTTTTGGGGCTGTCGCCGAGCAACACGAACTTTCAACTCCCGTCACAGATTTTCTATGGGGTTGAGGTCTGGAGACTGGCTAGGCCACTCCAGGACTTTCAAATGCTTCTTACGGAGCCACTCCTTTGTTGCCTGGGCGGTGTGTTTTGGATCATTGTCATGTTGGAAGACCCAGCCTCGTTTCATCTTCAAAGTTCTCACTGATGGAAGGAGGTTTTGGCTCAAAATCTCACGATACATGGCCCCATTCATTCTGTCCTTAACACGGATCAGTCGTCCTGTCCCCTTGGCAGAAAAACAGCCCCATAGCATGATGTTTCCACCCCCATGCTTCACAGTAGGTATGGTGTTCTTGGGATGCAACTCAGTATTCTTCTTCCTCCAAACACGACGAGTTGAGTTTATACCAAAAAGTTCTACTTTGGTTTCATCTGACCACATGACATTCTCCCAATCCTCTGCTGTATCATCCATGTGCTCTCTGGCAAACTTCAGACGGGCCTGGACATGCACTGGCTTCAGCAGCGGAACACGTCTGGCACTGCGGGATTTGATTCCCTGCCGTTGTAGTGTGTTACTGATGGTGACCTTTGTTACTTTGGTCCCAGCTCTCTGCAGGTCATTCACCAGGTCCCCCGTGTGGTTCTGGGATCTTTGCTCACCGTTCTCATGATCATTTTGACCCCACGGGATGAGATCTTGCGTGGAGCCCCAGATCGAGGGAGATTATCGGTGGTCTTGTATGTCTTCCATTTTCTGATGATTGCTCCCACAGTTGATTTTTTCACACCAAGCTGCTTGCCTATTGTAGATTCACTCTTCCCAGTCTGGTGCAGGTCTACAATACTTTTCCTGGTGTCCTTCGAAAGCTCTTTGGTCTTGGCCATGGCGGAGTTTGGAGTCTGACTGTTTGAGGCTGTGGACAGGTGTCTTTTATACAGATGATGAGTTCAAACAGGTGCCATTCATACAGGTAACGAGTGGGGGACAGAAAAGCTTCTTACAGAAGACGTTACAGGTCTGTGAGAGCCAGAGATTTTCCTTGTTTGAGGTGACCAAATACTTATTTTCCACCCTAATTTACGAATAAATTCTTTACAAATCCTACCATGTGAATTCATGGATTTTTTTTTCACATTCTGTCTCTCACAGTTGAAGTGTACCTCTGGTGCAAATTACTGACCTCTGTCATCATTTTAGGTGGGGGAACTTGCACAATCGGTGGCTGACTAAATACTTTTTTGCCCCACTGTATAAACAACAATAGTATTCAGGAAGCACACAAGCACAAACACACAAGATATCATTGGAAAGGCCAGAATGTCCTCTACTGAGCACAACAGGACTTATTAGGGTAGCTCAAATAAGTCAAAAATATATATAGACCATTAAAAAGGATAGGCTGGTTCTCAGGAAGTAATTTTGCTTCCAGGAGCCAGAACGGTTTGTCATTTTTAAAGTGTTCTTGGGCAACAGTCTGCCAAGATTTCTGAAGGTCTTTCAAAGTTTTTCTTTGGACATTGGCTGTTTTTCACTCATTTTCAGTCCAGTCCTTGATCTGGACTATTTTCAGAGGAATGTTTTGTTTGTTAAGCTACTTGCAACTGGAAAGTCAGTAGCAACAGGTATTATGGAGTGATGAATCCAGATTTGAAACTTTTCTCATCATCAATATGTACGGATGAGTTCTGGAGAGAAGTACAACAGTGAGTGTCTACAGCCATCTGCAAAGGACGGCGGAGGCTGTGTAGTGGTTTAGGCCTGCATTTCAACCAGCAGTGTTTAGGAAGCTTGCCAAAATGATGGCATAATGAACACAGAAAAGTACCATGAGATTTCCATCTACTACTTGGAGATGGTGTGATTGGCAACAGCTTGTTCACCATTATAATGATCCCCAAAACACTGCCAGTGCAGTCAAAGCATACCTGGATAGGTATGCCAATCCAGTTCAGTCATGGATTGGCCTCCCCAGAGCTCGGACCTCAACATTATTGAAGCAGTGTGGGCTGATCTTAAATCATCAGAGAACAGAACAAAAGGCAGCCAGCATTGATAGAAGAAACTATTTAAAGAAACTTTAATGTAGCTTGATTAAGAAAGTTCAGGATTTGATAAAGAATACAGGTGGTCTTATCAAATATTGACTTTACTATATTTACATGTATCTTTGTCCATGTTTCAACAAATAATAGCACCTATTTGATAATTTACTAGTACACTGAAATGAGAGTGACTCAGGACTTTGGCGCAGTATTGTATTGCATGAACTTCCCTGACCTGCAAATGAAAACACTTAGAATTTGGCACATTTTATCCTTGCAATTAAAAATACATATATCTCATATGATGTTGTGATTGCAGTGTGACAACTCAGAGTTCATGAGAAATATGTGGCCCAAAAATTGTTTGCCAGCCAGAAAAGGCTAAAAACTCCTGGCACGCTGAGGGCACAAAAATTTCATCCTTCTTCTGTCTGTTGCTTGACAGAAATATAACTACATTTACGATGTTTAGAATCTGTTGGTTTGTGGCTATATAAGACCAAAAAAATTAAAACTTGAAAACCTACAGCTGGTTGAAGCCAGCATGTGACTGGGTGAGCACTGCCCCTGATGATGTTTTGTGCTCATTTGAGGTAGGTGGCAATGCCCTCCAGGGATAGCAACTGGCAGCCAGTAATCTTTCCCTCTGTTTTTACCACTCCTTACATGGCATACAGTCTGGATACCACACTGGTAAGCATTAGAAATTATTCAACTGCAGCACCATAGAAAGAAATGAGCAGTCTCCCCTAATGACACCTTGAGAAATTTAAACGCTACTAATACTGAAGGGGCTGGGTTTTTCCTGCAGACAAATCACCTCTTGGATGTTAGTGGTGTGTGTGTGTGTGCGCGCGCGCGCGCGCGCGTGTAGTAGATATTTGCATATTTATGAATATACAATCTTTAGTCTGCCTGAAAGTCAGAGAAAATCATTGTCTGTACGAGTTTGACGAGGAGCATTTGAACGCAGCACGCCCCCAGGGGCTTGACGGTGGTCAGGTGACCCGCAGCAGGCAGGCCATTCTCGGCTTCCCCTGGCTTTGGCTCCAATGTCGGAGGTGTTTGTGCCTGGAAGAAATGGACTCTGGCAATGCAAGAATTTAATCATTCAGAGGTCCGAACAGTTGACTCCGTGAATGGCGCCAAAACAGGACCCTAAACCGAAATTTCAAGAAGGTCGGTAGGGGGGAAAAAAGCACCGATGATGCCCAGTTAGCGGCTGGAAGGGGGCGGGTTTGTTGTTGTTGTTCTTGCAGCTGCAGCTCGACGATAGTGATCCCTAGGGAAGGCGAAAGAGGCTTTATAAAGCTCAGATATCAATGAAAACATAGCTTACGTTGACGTAACATCGCAATGAAGCGCATACAATAAAGCTAGCTCAAGCTTTACAGACGCTAACGGAAGGCTAACTGTTAGCTAGCTTTGCTGTTCATGCTCTGCGTTAACGGCTCGTTTGATTACATTAGTTGTGGGTGTAATGAACATCATAACGTGCTTTTGACATTAGTTTTCCCCTCCTCGTAGGTGAAAGAGTCCTGTGCTTTCACGGGCCATTGCTCTATGAAGCAAAGGTTTGTCCCGATACTTTATGAGGGTCTTATTACTCATTTATTCCCAGTTAAAAATAAACTGATCCAAGGCCTGTGTGTTTTCTCGCTTTTACAGTGTGTCAAGATCAACGTAAAGGATAAGCAGATTAAATACTTCATTCATTACAGCGGATGGAACAAAAAGTGAGCAGCTTGAGTTGAATATAGGCTGACATTTCTCTCTGTGCGTCTATTTGGATAGGAATTATAACACTGTGATGACGTTTGAGAATCTGTGATGGGTTTTTTCTTCCTTTGCAGCTGGGATGAATGGGTTCCTGAAAGCAGAGTTCTCAAATATGTGGACAGCAACCTTGCCAAACAAAAAGAGCTTCAAAAGGCCAATCAGTGAGTTAACCTCTTCCCACACAGACATGACCAAGAAGTGTTTTTGTGAGTTTTCGGTTCTTCCTAATGTCCAGTCAGCTTTTTAGAGTTTCTGTCAAAGAAAAGCAGCGAGAAGAAAAGTAGGGGGCCGTTTGTGCTCTGTTTTGGGCATGACTGGATAAATTTAGAATTTGCAGCTTTTAGAGTTGACATTACACAATATGGTCTGCCCAATCGCATCCAATTACAGATTCTTGGGAGGTAAAGTAAATAAGTAAATGCTATATCAATATATTGATCAGTATTTTTGTGTGGATACATACGTATATAATCAGATTTTCACTATACTGTTTTTGTGATATCTTAATGTTAAAATCAGCTTTATTGCGAGTTCCGTAGTATTTACAGGTCATTTTTGTTTTCCCGTGAACAAGAATGAATCAAAAATAAGATAAAATGGAGAGCTATAAGAATATGAGATGCATATGTTAAAATAAGTATGAAATATCAAAGTATAAATATGAATTACACAAGCTATATTAAAGCTTACATACAGTTGTATAGTTGTTACTGTCAGTGTATATAAATATAGTGTGTACATGGATTCTTATGAAGCTTATATGGATTATTCTAGTCTGTGTATGTTATGGTGCAAATGAGGAAACGTCAGTGTGAGACTGAATGTGTAGGTAGCACCAGTATTGTTCTCTGTACACAAGAGCAGCAGAAAAGTCCTTTAAGTAAAGGCTGAACGTTCTTTATTCTGTTTTTCAGATATTTTCAGAAATCTCAGATATCATTAGATATGTGTTTTTGTGATTAACATGAACTTTACTGTCAGTTCTGCCATATGATATACATGATACGTAATATTAGACATATTTAACACATAAAGTTATGTTGATAGGGGAAAACGGCGGGGTGGTTTTTACTTTTCCAGAAGAGATTGTACAACTTATTGAGCAACGTGCCACGAGAACACTGTCTGACTCCACATCACACACCACTGTCTGCAAATGGAACAGAGTGTTTTGTAAACAGGCTACACAGCAGGTAGCTATGCATGTTAGCAGTTTTTTAAATGCCAGATGCCCTTGGTGATTTGTGTCTCCTCCCAGAATCGACCCAGGGATCTTTAACTTATTTGTAAACCGCTACACTGTGAGGCCACTTTGGAAACAGTTAAGTCAGTGCTGCAGACAGTGTATTTCTAAAATACCCCCCCACCCCCAATCAAACAGCAAGGCCGTGTCTGCATCACCACGGTGTGATACATCACTACAACTCAACGGTGGTCAGTAAAAGTAATTTAGATACATTTCTATAATTGTGCTCTCTCTTGATTTTTTTCTGCAGGGATCATTATGTTGAGGGAAAGATGAGGGGCTTAGCACCAAGCAAGAAGATTGCTGCTGTGCAGCAGAAAAATGTTGATCTGTGAGTGTCCAGCTTCTTTTCCCTCCTGTAATAATTCATTTAATAACTCAGTTCTTGTGATGCAACCTTGATGATATTATTTATTAAAGTGCTATATGCTCGCATGTAGTCAAAGCAATGAATTACATTAAGACAACTTGAGGTATATGTGTCAAATCATAAGAACAATCATGATGTCTTTTTTTGCATTGTAGGAAAGTGAAAAAGGCAAAACAGAAGAGTAAGTCAAATATTTGTACAAAATGTTTATTGAATTTTGTAGCTTTCTTCCAGAATATTTTTTGTTCTTATAGTAAAGATCTTTGGTGTTGTGACTTCATGAGGTTCAAGTACTGTTGTATTTATGGAGTCTGATGCGATCTGAGACTTATTAATAAACATATTCACCTTTTATTTCTGTGTATTATTTAAGCTGTCCTTTTCTTTTAGCCCCAGGGCCAGGTGAAGGTACCAGCAGCGGCGAGATGCCCCAGGGGCCACGAAAGAAGAGGGCTCGGGTTGATCCCACAGTGGAGAGTGTATGTATCATCATGTATTGGAACTGGACTTTTTATAAGAATAACAACTGAGCTTCTTTCTTGAGGTGTGAGCAGAATGAGGAAAATACTGAGATGTTGGGGGGGGGAAGGTCCACACTCAAGGCAGTACAAAACATCCTGGTCCTGTATCATTTCTTCAATAAGCTTGTGAAATTGTTCAAAGAGTCAGTTATTCCTGCATGAGTGAACCAGTCTACCCCGTGGGTGTAAAACCCACACTTGCTATCACAAATACACAAAAACTTTTAAAAGCAGCAAGGTCATATAGTGTGTGTGTGTGTATCCAGGAGGAGATGTTCACCAACCGTGTGGAAGTGAAGGTGAAGATCCCAGAGGAGTTGAAACCCTGGCTGGTGGATGACTGGGACCTCATTACCCGACAGAAACAGGTGAAAATAAAATCACAGCAGGTTTCACTTGTTTCCTTCATATTTATCCATATATTTATGGAAATGCGATGGCTAGAAATGTCAGGTTCTGGACCACTTGTGCTCGTTTGTCTCTGATTGCACAATGGATCCCAAAATCGTGATATAGTGAAGCAACACTGCTAATGACAGCTGGACCTCTGGCTACCGCACACATCCTAAACTGCAGTTTCTAATGGACAGGTCTGAAGAGAGCGCTTCAGCCAGAATCACTATCTGGAGCATGCTCATTTGTTCTTCTCATTTCAAAGTCAGAACATGCACAGGATGCTCTGCAATGTAGGACTGAGAGTAAATGTTACAGTTGAGTTTGAAATGAGTTGATGTCTGGATGTTTTTATTGATGGAAATGCTTGTGTAACATTTCTGTTGCTTAGTTATTTCATCTGCCAGCTAAGAAGAATGTAGAGACCATCTTGGAGGACTATGCAAACTACAAGAAATCAAAAGGAAACTCGGACAATAAGTAAGAGTAAACATCCTGACGTTCTCAGAATAATGGAGGCGTGAGGAAGCACTGATATCCTGTGATGAAAATGTTCAGCGGCACAGCATCTGTCAACCACATAAGACTTAAATTCCTTCCACTTTACAAATTTGCTTTTAATAGAGATACTTGTAAACACTTACTAACACATATACCATTAGCTGAACTATATTTTTAAGGGCACAACACCACTGATCTCACTAAAACTGTAAGTTGTGCATTATAGCCTTCACAGTAAGTCAAACAGTGCTTTTAAACCACAGGAATTCTTTTAATTATTTTGGATACACGACTCAATTTTTTCCCTCTCTCAGAATTGTGGAAACTGGGCGCTAACTCATTTTTTAGGCTCTTTTTTAAAGCTTTTTTTTAGGCATCCTTTATCTGAGTACTTCTTTAAATATCACAGCATGCTGCCTTTTTGCATCAAAATAAAAATACACCAGAATAAGTAAGTTTTTGTAGTCTTTTTTTCTTTTTTTTAATAGTCTGTAGCCAGTTATTGGGGTGGCAGTTGCTGTTACCAGTCTTCTTATAATAGTACTTGTGTGCTTTCTCACATTTGCTGCATCACAGCGCAACAAAAACAACTTTGAGAAGAAGTAAGCCCAGTGATTTCTCTCATGCAACTGTTCAAAACTGTACTATTGACTGTTCTATAGAGAGCTGACCTCTGCTGTCTCCAGTTATCTCTCCAAATACGTGACTTTTCTCTTCTCCGTTCGCTTAGGGAATATGCTGTGAGTGAAGTGGTGGCAGGGATCCGGGAGTACTTCAACGTCATGCTGGGCACTCAGCTGCTTTACAAGTTTGAGAGGCCGCAGTACGCCGAGATCCTGGCCGAACACGCGGATGTGCCAATGTCTCAGGTGTATGGAGCACCGCACCTGCTGCGTCTGTTTGGTAGGAACACGTGAAACATAGACAGTGTATCCGGAAAGTGTTCACAGCACATCAATTGTTCCACATTTTGTGATGTTACAGCCTTTTTCCTAAATGGATTAAATTCATTTTCACCTCACAATTCTACACACAGTATCCCATATTGACAAAGTGAAAACAGTTTGCTTTAAAATTCTTGCAAATTTATTGAAAATATAACATTTGCACACGTTTTTACGTATTTGTTCAATACTTTTTTGAAGCACCTTTGGCAGGAGCTTCTCCCACTTTTCTTTGCTGAACCTCTCCATCTGGTTGGATGGAGAGGATCACTCCACAGCCATTTTTAGATCTCTAGGGGTGTTCAGCGGTGTGAAAGTCTGGGCTCTGGCTGGGCCACTCAAGGAAATCCAAGAATAAAGCCACTCTTTTGATATCTTGGCTGTGTGGTTATAGTCATTGTCCTGTAGGGAGATGAATGTTCTCAGTCACCTCCATGACTAAGGCTCTTCTTTCCCAATTGCTCCGGTTCGTCATGAAGCCAGTTCTAGAGATGAGGAAGGCCAATGTGCTCAGTGGAAGCTTCAGTGCTGCTTCAGTTTTTCTGTACCCTTCCCCAGACCTGTGCCTCAGTACAATCCTGTCTCCAAGGTCTACAGACACTTACTTGGACTTCATGGCTTAGTTTGTGCTCTGACATGACCTGCAACTATGAGACCTTATATCGACAGCTATGTTTCTTTCCAAATCATGTCCAGTGAACTGAGTTTACCACAGGTGGACATTCAAGCTGTAGAAACATTTGAACAGATGATCAGTGGAAACAGGATGCGGCTGAGCTCAGTTTTGAATGTCATGCAAGTTTGCAGACTGTTTTTTTTTTTACTTTGTCATTATTCAGTATTGAAAAAAAAAATGTAATCCATTTTGGAACAAGGTTGTAAAATGACAATGTGTGGAACAAGTGAAGGACTGTGAATACTTTCTGGATGCACTGTAAACTATATGAAGCGTAATCAAGTTCGCACTTGGTAACAAGAAAAAAACAGAAAAAAATCTTAAATAAATTTGGTCGCTGTTTGCTTCACAGATGCTTGTTTGGGCATCTCAGACTGTTTGTGTTCGAAAGTCCTGCTCCATGATGAAATGATAACTCTTGTAACAGGGCGGACCTTAGCGGCTGGAAACACAGTGAGATGGACCAAGGCAAGAGTAGTGGAACAAGAATGCATTTATTTCCTATACAGCTCTCCTTACAACAATTAACTTGTCAAGCTTCTTCACAGTACAAAAAAATCCACGCTCTAATGACAACTGGCAGCCTTAAATATGTTCAGCTGTCACAGACTTAACCATTATTCCACTCTCAGGTAAATTCTTAAATCCCAACCTTCCCCCACAGTATACAATATATCAATAAGAATAAATAAATACATAAATACATTTTGACATTTACATATTAATAAATATTTCACACTTTAATGTTACACCAAACCCAATATTATAAAAACCCAGAAACCCAAGCACAAAAAGATTCACCACACTCTTTACCCATGGTCTCTCCCGGAACCTTTAAATGGTGTCTGGACCCCCGGGGAAACATTTGCCCAAACACCTTGAAGAAGACACAGGCAAGAAAGGTGAGTAATCATTATCTTACAAACACCTATTTGCACCACTTTTATCCCTAGATTTCACACACACATTTGCATTAGTTTTCCTTACTGGTAAACCTTAATCACAATCTCAATCACCATTCTTCTCTCCTGACAGACAACCACCACATTCCTTGACGAGGAGCAGCTGTGCAGGATCTGAAATAAGGCTACCAACTGATTTTAAAATTCCCAATAAATAGTCAATAAATATTTAAACTGCTTGTGTGCAAATCCATGCTTAAAGTGCAATGCTCATAAAGTGCTTGATAAGGTGCTTTTAATAAAGTGAAAGGTGTGCTCCAAAGTGCTATACATATAATATAATATAAATAAATGCAGTAAGGGAGTCCTCTTCCTTACAACTCTTCATTTTCATTTTAGAAAAAGGAGACAAAGTCACAGAGAGCCTAATGAATGTGCTAGGTAGAGTAAGTGAGAGCAAGATTGTGTTGCTGTAACAAGGCACGTCCCACTGTTAATTTCATTTACACTGAAAACCACAGGATGATACGGTTAAACTCCTCGTTGGCTTTTAACCTGGGAGGACAAAAACCTGGGGACACGGTGCACAACTCCATAAATGCTGAGCTAAAGGGAGAGAAAAAAGTGGTCTCACTCTACTGAAGACCTCTGTTTGGTCTCAGTGTCCTACCTGAAGACCCAGATCTCATTAGCAGTGATGCTCCTCCGCATGAACGTTGCTTCAAAGAAGTTGATTTTGCTCTCAGTGCAAGTTTAAATTGCAGTTGCCAGTCAGATCAGAACTTCCAAAGACAGAAAAATAGTAGGAATGCAGTACAAAGTGGCAAAATTTGAAGCTGGAAACATTTTTTTGCTTTTCACGGGCACAAGGCCCATTAAAAGTATGTGTTCCTAATCATCATGCTTCTTTTTACATGTCGCAGCAGAATTTATATCTGCTCCTTTCAGTTCAGTTAATTCAATATTTCTGGTTCACCTTTTAAGCAGTTTTGTAAATTCGTGGATGAAAGTGCTAAATAGGCTCGAAGAGAAGTCCCAATGTAAAAGGATTGAAGTATTAGTTATTGTACACAAAATAGCTTTATGGCTACTTCAACTATGATGACTCATCTGGATTGTTAGACGTGACTGAAATTTCATTTTATTATTATTTTTTCCTAACAGTCTGGAAAAATGTCAGAGGCCTCCACCTGTAAAACCATTCCTGTTTTGGGGGGTGTCTCATTGTTGCCCCTCTAGCTCACATGTTGATAATTTCATTCACACCAAAGCACCAGACAACCCCCTCTGCTACTGAACTAACCAGATTAAAATCCCACATTTAACTGACTTTATGCTATACTCTCATTACAACTTGGTCCTTATTCCCTGATTTTCTTTTAAGCAGTTTATTTAAAGTATTATTTATTTAGATGTTTGTAGCACCAGTCAGTTTATTTGAAAAGTAGGCTTCTCCCCTCTTTATGTCACATTTTTCGATTGTGGTGATGTTATAGAAATCTTACCTCAATCTCCAAATTTACCGTATGCAATGCTGCTCATACGCTGTATGTTGTCCTCCACCAACAGTTCGTATTGGAGCCATGCTGGCCTACACTCCCCTGGATGAGAAGAGTCTGGCTCTGTTGCTCAGTTACCTCCAAGATTTCCTCAAGTAAGCTTTTAACTCCCAGCACAACACCAGTCACTCCATGTCATGTTTGGCCGATTCTCAAATGTCATGTTGTATTCACATTCACATTAGTGCAGCCAGGCTTGTTGCAGTTCCTCAAAACATAAGCCATGAAATCGATTTTCTGCTCTGAAAAGTATTTTTCTTGAGACTAACCGTACACGTTGCAGCGCGTTATGACAGACTGAGGTACCGTGCCGTTCTTTGGGACTGAATCCAAATTGAAATTGGTCTCTTAGATCACTTGTGCGTGATGTTTAGTTGTTTTGATGTGTGAACAGCACTGCGGATACATCTACACCAACTGATACAGTGGTGACATAACATGACTTGCAGATATGGTACGGTCTATATGGTTGGCCTCGGGCTGTGTGAGAGACATGATTGAGAGAGAAAGTAATTCTGACCTCTCCCCTCTTGAACAAAAAAAGACCTGCAGGGCGGAGACACTCCTTTTTTATATATAGAAGTCTTTTCAGCTGAAGGACAGGAGTGTGACAGGATAAAGCACCCATGCACACCTAACCTGTAGGGCCATGACTTCATACCAAGGCGTGTTTCAGAATGGTGCTCTATGAGTGAAGTACAGCCAGGCAGGGGAAGAACACATTTGCAAACCGCTGTTGTAGTGCAGCAACATTCACTCTCTGGGTCTGTGTGTCATGGTTATCACAATGGAGGGAAGCAAGAATGATGAAATTTGGCAACTCCAGCCAAAGCTTATCTGAAAATTGGGTGCAAATCCACCCAGCCAATAAAATCTGGCCATTATTCGCTCCAGAGTTTTGTCATATCCCAAATGCCCTGCCATGGGGTTATAATGAGGCGCTTGGAAAATCGTTTCTCGGCAGCTTTTTGGCACCAGCACCTGGTTGTGTTCCTCCTCTGTGCGACTCACTCGATAATGCTTATACTTAGTCAATACAAAGTGTGTGTAGGTCAGCACTGTGTCAGGGCGCACCATGTGACCATCAGTTCTTATCACTTGGTCAATGGATAGCTTAGGGTGTCATCAACACACTGCTCTGATGGGAAATCTCTCATAGAGTGAATTACAAGGCCTTCTTGTGAGGGCCCTGCCAGACGGCAGCATCGGACAACCCACAGATACTACATGCTCCTACAGGTCGTGAATGCATCCCCACACACTACCTCAACAGGTTATTACAAGTGCCCACTCTTCCTCGGGCCAGCGAAATGCCTTTGTTTTGGCCTGAAAGATCTCCATTAATCAGAATCAGAAAGACTTTATTTATCCCCAAGGAGCAATTAAGATACAACAGAGCAGCATGACGTTGAAGATAAGGACAGGGCATAAACAGGCAATAAGAGTGAGATAGTAAATACACAGAATATACTGTATATTTTAAAATTACACAGTTTTAAAATTAAAGTGACTGAGGGGTCATTTCCCTTGCCCAGTGCAATGGAGGGAACCACAGGGGGCAGTGGGAGCAGTGGTGAACCAGCCGAAACCCCACCCTGACACCACACACTGCTCCACCCCTCCCCTGCTGCTGAGCCACAAATCTCCCCCCTACACAAGTACATATGGAGGTTTTAATTTCTTAAATGCACCATCTTACTGCAGTTTCTTATCCTGACTGTTTTGCATAGAGAAGACGAAGGGTAGACAAAAATGCAGACACTGCTGTCATTTCCTATATAACTTGTAGACTTATTGAAGTAAAACACTGGTGATTTAGCTTTGAGCCTTCATCACCGATCCAAAGCGTAGTCATTTCCTTGATGCTTGGAAAGGTTTTTTTTTTCTTTATAAGAATAAGAAAACATAAACATTCTCATTGAGTTCTCAATATGACTTTCCCATAAAGTTTTTTTTTTCTGCCAGTTTGTTTACATACATATAGAATCAAACTAAACTCGACTTTTATTCAGAGTTGTAATTTGGCAGCAAAGCATCTGCCACAATCTAATCTTACTGTAACAGTCATTTTGTAAATGCATGAGCCTGACGACTGCTGAACAACACACTCTGCACCAGGCGTTCCTGCTTCCCTCCTCACTGACAGTCAGTTGTTTGTTTCCTTCAGGTACCTGGTAAAGAATTCATCGACCCTTTTCAGTGCCAGCGACTATGAGGTCGCACCCCCAGAGTACCACCGCAAAGCTGTGTGAGAGCTCTCAGCAAACCTCTTTCCTATTGAGACACCTCATCCCACTCTCCCAGACCACAACTGAAATATCCGTGACTACCCTTTGGATCGCAGTCTTTGGCGATATTTTTCACTTGAACTGATTTGCTTCCCCCGCCAGGGTCTCAGGAGCTCGTCACGGTTAAGAAGAAAAAAAAATTGTGAAACCTTTTTAACTGAGTCACTTTTCTTTTTTCCCCTTTTCCTTTTCATGTACCTTTTTTTTTTTTCATATAAAAGTGTAGTTCTTCATCGTCCGTTACCACAGAGCAGCTCTTCTGTGTTTTTGCATTCCAGCTGATAGATATTTGTTGCATGTGGGTATTTATTGGTGTTTCTTCGGCCAAATGAGGTGCAGTTTAATGCTGGTCCTCAGTCAGTGTTCAGCAGTTAATGTTTTTGTATCTGTATCTTGTGTATTTGTATCAGTTTGTAAAAAGAAAAAAAAATATATATGTTTATACACAGTATCCAGCTCGTTTACTGTGCGTTCTTTTTCACATCAAGTAAATTATTTGGTTTTATCTCTCTCCTTTCAAGACATATCTTGCTGTAAATGTCGCTTATAATTAAAAGCAGCAGCAGGAAATGAAATTGAAAACAGAGAGCCATCCTCCTGCTAAGTTTTGGTTTAGTATTCACCTGATGAGACACAGGGTCAAAGTATCTTTCAATTACATGTGTTGACTGTTAAAGTGCAAATCAGTTTTCAGTGTTAATCCTGCAAATGTAAAACATCCAAAATGCCTACAACCAGATTTTGACACCACATGACAGACTACAACATACATATCCCCACATCAGCATGGGAAAATTACCAAGGAATTATTAAACATGATCCAGTCATGGAGTCTGATTCCTATATATGTTGGTGTGTGTTTGTAATTTGAAATGACTTTTACTGGTCAGTAAATGGAGTTCTGTGGACTAAAAAATGTGCCCTGAAAAATGTTGTATGAGAGTTAGAGAAATATACATATCATAAACAGTGCTGTGCAGATGTCTTGAGCCACCCCTCATTTCTTTATATTTTGCTTTTTTACATTTTTTGGAGTGCCTTTGAACAATAGTTCTTCAGGGTTCTTGGAGGTCTTTTTTTATGCAGTGGCTGCTTTTTTACTCATTTTCAGTTCAGTCCTTGTACCTGGCCATTCTAAGAGATAGGTTTGTTTCTTTAAGCATAGAGTCACTCAGTGTCAGGGGTGAACCAGTGCTGTCTACAGACAAAGAACCTATTTTAAAGTATTGTTGGATACTTTATGATGCACACTTGGGTGGACAAAAAAAACTTCAAGATATGAGTCTGTAAGTTGCTTTTACTTGTCTGCACCGAAACACAGGCACTTCAGGTCAGCGGAGCTGCGCTCTGCAGGCTGTCAGTGCACTAAACGAATCAGGGCCTCTATGACCAACTCTAAGGACGCCCAAGCTGCCCCAACCCTTCCCTGTGCGAGCTTCACTCATGGGAATCATACTTCACCTACTCAAACATATGTCCAGAATAATGAAGATGTAAATAAACGTTAATAAGTAACCCAATAAAATAAAATGATGCCCAGTATCTATGAAAATACATTCTTCTGTGTCCCAACATTCAATGAGTCCCACATTTACTAGCAGTCTGTCCTAAAAACACATCATTTTGTCCCATTTATTTTGTTGATTTTATGAAATAGTCCAAAAAATTCACAGTTTGACAGACACAAAATTGGATTTTTGCACCAACAAGGTGATTCCCAAAGAGCTATCAGCCCAACACTTGGCAGTCTGTGCATGCTGTGCAGTGTGTCTTTAAAATATTTGCTGGTCTCAGTGGAAGGGTGGCTGTCAATAAGTTATTCTTAAGTAAGGGAAACGGGGAGAAAAGGCTGAGGTATGTCAAAGTGGGTAAGAAATCCTCAGAATTGTACACTTCGGTCCTGAAGCACCGTTTTTGTCTGTACTACATTTAAAAGTTGCATGTGTATAAATTTTTGTGTTTAATTATAGTTGTACACAGCACATCTGGAGTCAGGATGGAACCACAGGAGCAGCGTGTTAGGGACACACTGCTTCCATTCCAAGGACTCTTGCAGGTTAATCCACCTATGATACTGATGACAAATACTGCATATAAATATGGATTAAACACTACCATTTTTTATCTGCGCATGAGCTGTGAATGCGGGCACACTGTGGGTGTGGCAGGTAAAAAATTCCTGACAGCGAGCAAATGCTGACACCATGACACCTACCTCAGTCTGTGATTTGCAGTCAAACGTTTAATGCCAGGTCACTGCACGCGGGTGCGCACACACCCAAATGTGTGGATGAGAAATGCTCTCCAAGGAAACGTGGCTGTGGTAAGGGTGTTGCCATGGGGACGTAGACAAAGGAAGAGACACGCAGCATCAAAGTCTCGGTCTTATAAAGTCTTGGTAGCTTTAAGGACAGTGAAAAATACAATATGAGAGGAACACCAGGAAATCCTCCTCTTGGGAATAATTCATGAGACCTGTTAATAGATGTTAACTGTTATTGAGTAGCATTGTAACAGTAAGCCTATATACCAGCTGTTATGTTAGTTTGCCTGTTTATTTACTGGCTGATTCACTTAATCACCCTGCTCTGGGTGACCACAAGAGAGCAGCCTTTTCCCTTCCCCCAATTTGCTATTGTTTTTCCCTCTTTGTAGATTTTACAGTTGAATGCACTTGATATATTTTTATGAGGCGAAATAAAGGGAGAGAGAAAAGAAGCATAAAACAGACTGTAAACTCAAGACAGCAGGGAGCAGTCTGCTAATTGAACACCTTATACTGACTATATTTGGATACATACCCTCACTGTTTAATAATTTAATATTTAATCAGTCAACCACTGTAAACTTTGGCCTAAGAAAGTAATTTTCTTGTGACACACATTTGATATTATATTAACTCAGTCGTGTATCTAAAAAAACCTTTAACATAAAAGAGTCGTTTAAAGACTCTTCAGAGCATTCCAATTCCAAACATTCCTATTCCAAATAATGGCAAAATAACAGCTTGTAGAGGAAAATCGATTTCATCACTGGTGTTGCACTTGCAAAAAAAAACAAAACTCTTACAAATGCTTTATGCTTTTGTTGTTGCTGTTTTCCTTTTTTCTTTGCAAGGTATAAAGTTACCAACCCTTCAAATAGGCTCATACGCGGGTAAACTGGTGAGATCTGTGAGGTGTTTAAGTGCACATTTCGATACAATACGTTGGACTTTGACATGAGGGCAATGACAGGTAAACGCACAGTTATTATTAAAATATGTTTCGGGGCACTCTGGGGAGGAGGGGGGATTAGAGGATATTGTGATGTTTAAACAGCAGATAGTTGTTTTTGTTTTTTAAATTCAGTTTACATCGATGTTTACAGGTAACTGTTTGTAGGTGTTTCATTCTTCAGGTAATCCTGACGTCACGCCGGGTTCTGTCCCAGGACGACTCCAACTATTCCCAGCGGCCACTCTCCAAGGAAGTCCCGCCCTCCGCAACTGCCCATTGGATTAAAGGTGAACAGAACGCGGTTGGTTTGGTTTGATTGGCTCACAGGTTGTCAGTCGCAGTGCGACGGGAGTTTCGGGAGTTTGAGGTTAGGCGTCAGGTGAAACCTGCTCTGTGAGGAAAACGGCGCAGATTAAACGTACTTTGCGACTACCTTCAGCATTGCTTTTGCACTTTTTAATGAACTTGTCCAGTGCGGGAAAAGTTTAACACCGGAGACCAACAACTTTAAAAGATGAAGAGCCTCAAGTATCGATTGAAAAAGCACGAAGTTACCATAACAGTAAGTTGATCGTTTGTTTTCTCGGTTTTGCTCATTTTCCCCGTTTCCCACCACTGGAGCGGTCAGCTGTGAGTTCATGGACGGCGCTGGGACCCGACGCTGTGTTGTACCTCCGCGGGTTGCTGTCTGTAACCCTCGCCTCTCTGTCTTAGCGACCACGCTAACCGCGGTCATGTTCCCACGGTGGCTGCCCGCGCGCTCCCCTGGAAAATAGACACCCCGCCAGCACGTTCAAGCACCTGCACACACACGCGCGCGCGCAAGCGGAGGTCGTGGCCTGCTCGACACAGATTATTATACTGCAGATTTAGGCCAGGTTCAGATTGTTATAACCTGGCCTAAATCTGCTGGAGCTGTGCTGTTGTTGTTGTTGTTGTTGTTGACAAAGCGCGCTCTGGAAGAAAGCACCACAATTCAATACCACAAAGTGCCTGTTCTGCTGTATTTTTTGTTTTATCACAGGGGACATTTGTGGTCATTAAAAAAACAAACAAAAAAACAAAAAAAAAAAACGCTGTCGTGCACTTTGACCCACCTTTCATTTCTGTCTTGTGAACACACTGAGAGCTTTTAAATTATGTTTGTTTTTTGGTTGTTTAAATGCACCAGTGTGTTCTCTTTACCAGCCTACAGCTACTGAAACCATGTCCGTGAAACTTTTCTGTAGATCTGTTTAAGAAAAAGTCTGTAATCGTCTTCAGGATCCCGCTTGAACAAGGATTTAGTGTGGTGGTGAACTGCTTGTGTTTCTAATATTTTGTCCATCGTATTTGGATCAACATGAATGGTAGACATATTTGGAGACTGGAGCTTGGTGTTCCCCATTCAATGCTTACATAATGTAAAAGCAGGAAAAACAATGGTGCCTGTTTTATGTTTATTTTGTTTAACAAAAGCAGCGCATTATTATTTTTATTAATACACGATTAATTATTACAGAGCAGCAGACCTTCAAACTTGAGGACAGGTGGGCCTGAGTTGTTTACCGTGAAGTACGGCATGACATACATGACAAAGTTGGAATTGATTGGGTGGAATTGATTCTTCACAATCCAGCGATGACGTATGAACTTTGCTGAATAGACAGCCATCACAATTCTGCACAGTTCAGCATGCAGTGGGTGTCTGGCACTGCACTCTGTTTTCGGCTCCCAGCAATTACCATGAGAAAGGCACAAAGCCAGAGGAGCTGTGTGTGGTAAACTATCCGGCCCCCATTGAAATAAAAGGAGAGAGGGAGCGAAGAGAAGAGAAGCCTTTCGAGATTGAAATGGTATTGTATGTGTATTGACGGCTGTCTCACCCCCTCTGACAGAAGTAGAGACACCCTTTAAAAAAAAAAGAAAAAAAGAACCATGAAAACCAAAAACGCTTGCAGACTTTATGTTCCACTTGTTTCAAAGCACCCTGAGGAAAAGCTCGATGTGGGCTGTGTTGAGGAAACAGATGTGACATTTACACTGGGCTAAAATTCCCGTTGCATTCCTCTATGAAGGCAGAAGAGGAAATATTAGCACACCTACAGATAAAAGGTGTGTTTAAAAAAAACTCAACAAAACAAAACATGGGTAATAATTTAAAATGTTTAACAAACCTGTTCTGCTTCAGGTAAGATCTTTGTGCTTGCACTGGTAAACAAACACATAGAAGAAGTATGTCATCACCACCTGT